CCCAATCCGTCATTACCTCTGTGTATTCAGACTCCCCAATCCGTCATTACCTCTGTGTATTCAGACTCCCCAATCTGTCATTACCTCTGTGTATTCAGACTCCCCAATCTGTCATTACCTCTGTGTATTCAGACTCCCCAATCTGTCATTACCTCTGTGTATTCAGACTGCCCAATCCGTCATTACCTCTGTGTATTCAGACTCCCCAATCCGTCATTACATTGTGTATTCAGACTCCCCAATCTGTCATTACCTCTGTGTATTCAGACTCCCAATCCGTCATTCCTCGTGTAAATTTAGACTCCCCAATCTGTCATTACCGGTATTCAGACTCCCCAATCTGTCATTACCTCTGTGTATTCAGACTCTCCAATCTGTCATTACCTTGTGTATTCAGACTCCCCAATCTGTCATTTCCTCTGTGTAAATTTAGACTCCCCAATCTGTCATTACCTCTGTGTATTCAGACCCCCAATCTGTCATTACCCTCTGTGTATTCAACTCCCCAATCTGTCATTTCCTCTGTGTATTCAGACTCCCCAATCGTCATTACCTCTGTGTATTCAGACTCCCCAATCTGTCATTACCTCTGTGTATTCAGACTCCCCAATCGTCATTACCTCTGGTATTCAGACTCTCCCAAACTGTCATTACCTCTGTGATTCAGACTCCCCAATCCGTCCCTTTCCCCCCTGTGTATTCAGGGCTCCCAATCCGTCATTACCTCTGTGTATTTAGACTGCCCCCAAACTGTCATTTCCTCTGTGTATTCAGCTCTCCAAACTGTCATTACCTCTTGTATTCAGAACTCTCCAATCTGTCATTACCTCTGTGTATTCAGATCTCCAATCTGTCATTACCTCTGTGTATTCAGACCTCTCCAATCTGTCATTACCTCTGTGTATTCAGACTCCCCATCCGTCCTTACCTCTGTGTATTCAGACTCTCCAATCTGTCATTACCTCTGTGTATTCAGACTCTCCAATCTGTCATTACCTCTGTGTATTCAGACTCCCCAATCTGTCATTACCTCTGTGTATTCAGACTCCCCAATCTGTCATTACCTCTGTGTATTCAGACTCCCCAATCTGTCATTACCTCTGTGTATTCAGACTCCCCAATCTGTCATTACCTCTGTGGTATTTCAGACTCTCCAATCTGTCATTACCTCTGTGTATTCAGACTCCCACATCTGTCATTACCTCTGTGTATTCAGACTCCCCAATCGTCATTACCTCTGTGTATTCAGACTCCCCAATCCGTCATACCTCTGTGTATTCAGACTCCCCAATGTCATTACCTCTGTGTATTCAGACTCCCCAATCTGTCATTACTCTGTGTATTCAGACTCCCCAATCTTCGTCATTACCCCTGTTGTATTTTAGACTCCCCAACCGTCATTACCCCGTGTATTCGACTCCCCAATCTGTTTACCTCTGTGTTTCAGACTCCCCAATCTGTCTTTCCTCTGTGTATTCACACTCCCCCAATCGTCTTTCCTCTGTGTATTCAGACTCCCCAATTTCATTTACCTCTGTGTATTCAGACTCCCCCAATCTTCATTACCTCTGTTATTCACCTCCCCAATCTGTCATTACTCTTTTGTATTCAGACTCCCCATCTGTATTACCTCTGTGTTTTCAGACTCCCCAATCTGTCATTACCTCTGTGATTCAGACTCCCCAATCCGTCATTACCCCTGGTATCAGACTTTCCCCAATCCGTCATTACTCTGTTGTATTCAGACCCCAATCTGGGCATTTCCTTGGTATCGACTCCCCATCGTCATACCTTGTGTATTAGACTCCCAAATTGTCATTACCTCTGTGTATTCACACTCCCCAATCTGTCATCCTCGTGTATTAGACTCCCCAATCCTCATTACCTCTGTGTATTCAACTCCCTAATCCGTCATATACCTCGTGTCTTCAGACTCCCCAAATCTGTCATTACCTCTGTGTATTCAACTCCCCAATCCGTCTTACCTCTGGTATTCAGACTCCCTATTCCGTCATTACCTCGGGGTATTCAGACTCCCCAATTGTCATTATCTCTGTGTATTCAGACTCCCCAATCCGTCATTACCTCTGTGATTCAGACTCCCTAATCCGTCATTACCTCTGTGTATTCAGACTCCCCAATCTGTCATTACCTCTGTGTATTCAGACTCCCCAATCTGTCTATCCCTCCCTTGACCTCCTTCCCCTGCTCAGCATATTACATGTTTAATTTTTACATTTTAGTCATTTTAGCAACGCTCTTATCCAGAGCGACCCTTTCGAAGCAAATTTGGTTAGTGCCTTGCTCAAGGCAAAATCGCAGATTTTTCACCGTAGCTCGGGGATTAGAACCGCGAACCTTTCCTCTCCATTTGACTGAATCAATTGTCATCCCCCTCTGTCTCTCCTCTGTCCGTTGGTTTCCTCTCCTCTCTTCCTCCACTCAGGCTATTCCAGGTCAATGAAATCAGATCACCTCTACTGATCAATACCACAGCATGTATGTCAGCTAGCTACTGCATAATGATGTTTACATAACCACTAACTAGCCACAGTGTTTCTAAAAGGCTGGTTATAACACTGAATAACATCACAAAGCTAGTCTATAACATGCTTATAAGCAGAAGAGGAAAAACCATAGTTTAGGGCCCAGCGTTCTTCCTGGTGATTTCAGGAAAAACTCCTGGCTATAAACATAAGTCACCTGAAGAAATGTGATATGGGTTCAGTGTAAGGGAAGAGCATGTTTTGGTTAAATACATCTACTTTCTAAGACATATGACTTCAGGATCCACAACAGCTAGCAATTCAATAAGAGAGTACAGACGAAGGCCTAGCAGCCATAAATACAGTATATTAAGTTAGATGTTATTACCATGACGTCTTGAAACAGTAAGGAACTGTCACAAGCCTTTGTCCTGTCGCATCGCTATGAGCTATGCCTAATGTGTACCACGCCAGGATCTGATAACCTCTTCCATATCAGTTCTGGCTCTTTCCTTAAATAAACTGCAGGATCTTCAAATAAACTAATCTCATCCACAAAAATGTTTCCCCTCTTAGTTAACTTTTTCTCACACAGTCTCTATATCTTCTGTTGACTCTCTCTCACACAGTCTCTATATCTTCTGTTGACTCTCTCTCACACAGTCTCTATATCTTATGTTGACTCACTCTCTCACAGTCTCTATATCTTCTGTTGACTCTCTCTCACACAGTCTCTATATCTTCTGTTGACTCTCTCTCACACAGTCTCTATATCTTCTGTTGACTCACTCTCTCACAGTCTCTATATCTTCTGTTGACTCTCTCTCACACAGTCTCTATATCTTCTGTAAAGAAAACTACTGAAAGAATGACTGTGAAAGTCATTGCCGGTAGAGCACATACTGTTACAAACATGGAGTAGGTTTGTGATGACAGAAGTCTATGCAGTACATATTTGCTAAAGCGCCAAACAGTAATCAGTCTTCTGAGGGGAACAGTAGAGACTTACTGAATGCGTCCCAAATGGCACCCTATTCCCTATAGAGTGCACAACCGTTGACTAGAGAGCCTATAGGAAGCTCTGGTCAAAGGTAGTGCACTCTATAGGGAATAGGGTGCCATTTGGGACGGGTCGCCCATGAAAAGGTCACATCCAGCACACCTGCTCTCCCCTGGACGCCTGTCCTGAACCAGAGTAGTGCTGGGTGCTTGGCAGTGCTGGGTGCTTGGCAGTGCTGGGTGCTTGGCAGTGCTGGGTGCTTGGCAGTGCTGGGTGCTTGGCAGTGCTGGGTGCTTGGCAGTGTGTATTGTTATCCAGCACACTAGATGCTCTGTCTTTACTACACACGGTACAGGCTGCCTGCCACCCATTTAGCCCGCCGCTGCTAAATTAATATAGGGGAAAACTGTATGGGATAACAGAAGCAGAGAACACAGAGAACGCACTCACTAACACACACTAACACACATATACACACCACACACACCCCCAAAACACACCACCAAAAAAAAAAAACACAAACACACACACAACAAAAACACACCACAACCAAAAAAAACAACCAACACAACACCAAAAACACACACACACCACAACACAAAACACACCAAAACACACAACCAAAAACAACACCAAACACACACAGCAAACACACACACAACAACTCAAAAAACACACACACAAACCACACAACACACACACAAAAACACACACAACTAACAAAAACACACCAAACACCACAAACACACAACACACAAACACAAACCCAAAACACACACATCAAACACAAAACCACCAAAACAACCACACACCAAACACAACACAACACTCAAACACAACACACAAACATCAACACACTAAACACACAACACACACACCAAAAAACACACCAACAACACACACCACACCACCAAACACAACACCACAAACAACACAACACACTCAACACACACACACAAAACACACCAACCAAACACAACACACACTCAACCACACCCAACACACTCAAACACACACACCTAAAACACATACCACTCAAACAACATACGCACCTCAAACCATACGCACTCAAACACACACACACCACACACACATATACACGACAACACACACACACATATACACGCACACACACCCACACACTCAACACCACACACCACACACAACACACACACAACACCACACTCCAACACACACTCATTATACCCACACACATTCACAATCACATACACACACAACACATACACACACATTCACACACAGGTGCAGACGCACACAGCCACTGAAGGCTGATCATGCAGTTCCAGGAATTATAAACTGATAAACATTAGGGCCCAGTGGTTGGTGATGCTTTTATAGAGGGCTGGACCAATCACAACTCTAGTTATACCAGTCATACCAGGCACACTGGGAACGTAGGAAGGGCTTTGATCTTGCGGATCTGAATGCTGCATAGTTTATGTATTTACAGGTGGAACACACATTCTATCTTTCTCTCTCACACACACACAATCCTACCTCGAAGCTGCTATTTCCACTTTCGTCCTGGCGATAGCCCCTGCCCTCTGCGCCCCCTCCACGGCCCGGTCCACTTTCTCTTTGGTTTTGGGGTTCTTTAGCGGGATCAACTGCTTCCTTATTCCACGCACCAGCACGTTATTCTTGTACTTCCCTTCTTCCTTGTTGCCCTCGGGGAAGGTGGTGCACCCGTAACCGTGGCGCTTGTTGTTCAGCCACTCCCCCTCGTACTTCATCCCGTTGGAACGTTCGCTGACGCCGAACCCGTTGCGCTTGTCGTTCTTCCACTCCCCCATGTACGTCTCGGTGGTGGTGGCGTCCACGTGATCCTCCAATAGCAGGTCCTCTTCCGGCAGCTCTGCGTCGCCCAGGGAGACGGTGGAGTTGGCGTCTGCGTCGGAGGAGCTGATGCGGCTCATAGCGGCGTCGCTGAGTGCCGAGCTCCTCTTGCTGGAGATGGACGACTTCGATTCGGACTTGTGGAGCCGGCGGAGGCTCCCGAACAGCGACCCGCGGCGGAACAGCCCCTTCTTCTTCTTCTTCCCGGTGACCACTTCGCTATCCGAGTGGAAGTTGAGGACGAACCCGCCGCGGCCGCCGGTGGGAGTGTCACCCGAGAGGTCCTGGAGCACGGCGCCGTTACTCTGCTCGGAGCGCAGGGACGCCAGGGAGGTACGGAGTGGGGACTGTATTACCGTGGCCATGCCGTAGGGAACACTCTGGCGCACGCCGTAACCATGACGCATCCCACCCATCCACTGGCCCTGGTATGTACCTGGAGGAGACACAGAACAATAACGATGGGGGTGAATAGATCATCGGTTGGCTAGTTGGTTGGCTGGCTGATTACTCGATTGGTTGGTTGATTGATTGATTGATTGATTGGTTGATTGATCTTAAAAGTAATAATTAAAAGCCACAGGTCCAACTCAATATTAGGAAGGTGTTCTTAATGTTTTGTACACTCAGTGTAGATCACAATTATTCAGACAGAACAATGGCAATCTCCAGATACTGTACATACGGTAGTCTGCGTTCCAAATGGCACTCTATTCCCTACATAGTGGGTCCTAGTCAAGAGTAGCGCACTATATAGGGATTAGGGTGCCATTTGGGATAAAGCCATCCAGTGCAGTCTCCCTGACCAGCACGGAACACTCCTCCTGACTGATCGAATGAAACACTTCCCTTCAATGTTCCAAGATAATGTGTTGTGAACGTTCTAAGCTACTATGGCGAGTCAGGTCTGATCTAAAAGGGACCCATCTATACAATAAAGAAGTATCTTGGACAATATACTTGTCTCAATGGCCAGGTTAGAGTGCATCAAAACCGTGACGTATCATACGGAAATTGTGACTGACTGACTGACTGATCTACAAATAATATTGAGTAGGCTAGATATTTACGATGCAATGTGATTACTGTAACCTCTCATAGTAAAGTCACACTGAAACCTCTCATAGTAAAGTCACACTGTAACCACTCATGGTAAAGTCACAGAGTAGATCAGTCAGTCTGGACTTTAAGGTTGGCTGAAATGTTGAGCGCACCCTGTGACTTTACTATGAGAGGTTACAGTGTGACTTTACTATGAGAGGTTACAGTGTGACTTTACTATGAGAGGTTACAGTGTGACTTTACTATGAGAGGTGACAGTGTGACTTTACTATGAGAGGTGACAGTGTGACTTTACTATGAGAGGTGACAGTGTGACTTTACTATGAGAGGTGACAGTGTGACTTTACTATGAGAGGTGACAGTGTGACTTTACTATGAGAGGTTACAGTGTGACTTTACTATTAGAGGTTACAGTGTGACTTTACTATGAGAGGTGACAGTGTGACTTTACTATGATAGGTTACAGTGTGACTTTACTATGAGAGGTGACAGTGTGACTTTACTATGAGAGGTTACAGTGTGACTTTGCTATGAGATGTTACAGTGTGACTTTACTATGAGAGGTTACAGTGTGAAATACTGGTATGGCAGTATTTCAGCACATCTTCAGTGGTATGGCAGTATTTCAGCACATCTTCGGTGGTATGGCAGTATTTCAGCACATCTTCAGTGGTATGGCAGTATTTCAGCACATCTTCAGTGGTATGGCAGTATTTCAGCACATCTTCAGTGGTATGGCAGTATTTCAGCACATCTTCGGTGGTATGGCAGTATTTCAGCTACAGGCAAACCGATCAACCAAATGCAAGTGTTGTGAAAAAAAGGGCCTCAGAGTTGTAGCAACAACAAAAGGCAACATGACAGATTTATTCAATAATCTGAAGAAGAACCACCCTCTACTTTACAGAGTGGTGAAAAACCCCTCAGCCACAGCCAGCCACCTACGTTAAGCAGACATTGATTGCAGCCATAGCCAGCCACCTACGTTAAGCAGGCATTGATTGCAGCCATAGCCAGCCACCTACGTTAAGCAGGCATTGATTGCAGCCATAGCCAGCCACCTACGTTAAGCAGGCATTGATTGCAGCCATAGCCAGCCACCTACGTTAAGCAGGCATTGATTGCAGCCATAGCCAGCCACCTACGTTAAGCAGGCATTGATTGCCGATGTGTTTCAAGTGTAACACCATACAGAAAAACATCTCGCAGACAGACATACATCACCAAGGCTATCACCTATCTAATGATAAAAATTCAAAAAATAATGAAAAAGAAAAATAATAATACAAATGAAATAAAAAAATCAAATTTGAAAAAATAATTTTTTTTATATATATATAAAACCAATGGAAATTAAGAATATACTCAAAAAAATAAAATAAATTGGCTATCATAAGGTGAATGCACCAATTTGGAAGTCGCTCTGGATAAGAGCATCTGCTAAATGACATACATGTAATGTAATGTACAGGAATCACGTCTTTGGCTATTTCCACTGTCAGCAAAGACAGCTTCAAGAAAGATGATAAATAAGCTGGACAGGAGATAGAAGGTTCTATCTAGAACATACAGTATTTTGCCCAAGTCTCCATCCCAACACTGTAGAACACAAATAAGGGAGAAGTTGAAAGAGAGCTCATTATTACGTAACTACAACAGGCCTTTGTTCTTGTAGAACAACCCAGCCTTACATCAGTTTGACAGCACACTTTATTGATGAGAAGTTTCAACTGAAAGGCCGGTGACTGGCTAAAACATGGTAAAGACCATCACATTAATGGCTGTACCAAAAGTGGTAAAGACCATCACGCTGATGACTGTACCAAACGTGGTAAAGACCATCACGCTGATGACTGAACCAAACGTGGTAAAGACCATCACGCTGATGACTGAACCAAACGTGGTAAAGACCATCACATTAAATGACTGTACCAAACGTGGTAAAGACCATCACATTAAATGACTGTACCAAACGTGGTAAAGACCATCACGCTGATGACTGTACCAAACGTGGTAAAGACCATCACATTAATGACTGGACCAAACGTGGTAAAAGACCATCACGCTGATGACTGGACCAAACGTGGTAAAGACCATCAGTTGGCTACGTGTTACATTTTTTAAGGCACTTTGACTTCTAATTTCAATAATAATATTGATTGAGCCTACTTCTACAGAATTATACTCTCACCAGCTTCCTGTTCCATCTGCAGCCTATCGCTACCTGAATACAGAATTAACTTAGGCTATTAATAATAATATGCCATTTAGCAGACGCTTTTATCCAAAGCGACTTACAGTCATGCGCGCATACATTTTTAACGTATGGGTGGTCCCGGGGATCGAACCCACTACCCTGGCGTTACAAGCGCCGTGCTCTACCAGCTGAGCTACAGAGGACCACAAGACTACAATAACTCATCATGGTCAAATAGGAAGTAGGAACTCATAATGTTATTAATTAATTAATAAGTGCTGCGCTTTATAGCATACTATATTTTGATGATCATGTTACAAATGAATGTTTGTTAATATGTCAGTGTAATAATCTAATTTCATGCGTATAACAATGTTGGAAAATATTTGTTTAATTCGTTTTTGTATTCAGTTAGCACAGTGTGTATTAATTCATATGATCTCATTTTAGAAGTAATGCTCTCTGCCCTGACACTTGTTTTAACCGTGTCAATTGGATTTACCAAGTTTTCACACAGGTGTTTGACAACAGCAATATCTGGCCAAAAATAAAATCGCTAGTAGATATTTATTAGAATTTTTGTCCAAATCGTTTAGCCCTACTACATACTTCTTAACGCTCACCCCAACGCTCACGCCAACGCTCACCCTCACCCCAACACTCACCCTCACCCCAACACTCACCCTATATAAATACCTCGTAACCCAACCCCAACACTACATACATACATACATACATACATACCTTTTAACCCAACACTCACCCAACCCTCACCCCAACGCTCACCATACATACATACCTCTTAACCCAACCCCAACTGTCACGCCAACCCTCACCCCAACCCTACATACAGTGCATTCAGAAAGTATTCAGACCCCTTGACTTCTTCCACATTTTGTTGTTACGTTACAGCCTTATTCTAAAATTGATTAATGAATGTTTTTCGTCATCAATCTACACACAATACTCCATAACGACAAAGTGAAAACAGGTTTGTATAAATTTTTGCAAATGTATAAAAATAAAAAAACACACAACAAATACCTTATTTTACATAAGTATTCAGACCCTTTGCTATGAGACTCGAAATTGAGATCAGGTGCATCCTGTTTCCATTGATCATCCTTGAGATATTTCTATAACTTGTTTGGAGTCCACCTGTGGTAAATTCAATTGATTGGACATGATTTGGAAAGGCACACACCTTTCCATATAAGGTCCCACAGTTGACAGTGCATGTCAGAGCAAAAACCAAGAGGTCGAAGGAATTGTCCGTAGACCTCCGAGACAGGATTATGTAAAGGCACAGATCTGGGGAAGGGTACCAAAAAATGTCTGCAGCATTGAAGGTCCCCAAGAATAGTGGCCTCTATCATTCTTAAATGGAAGAAGTTTGGAACCACCAACACTTTTCCTAGAGCTGGCAACCCGGCCAAACTGAGCAATCAGGGGAGAAGGGCCTTTATCAGGGAGGTGACCAAGAACCTGATGGTCACTCTGAAAGAGCTGCAGAGTTCCTCTGTGGAGATGGGAGAACCTTCCAGAAGGACAACCATCTCTGCAGCACTCCACCAATCAGGTCTTTATGGTAGTGGCCAGACGGAAGCCACTCCTCAGTAAAAGGCACATGACCCTAAGCACACAGCCAAGACAACGCAGGAGTGGCTTCGGGACAAGTCTCTGAATGTCCTTGAGTGGCCCAGCCAGAGCCCGGACTTGAACCTGATCGAACATCTCTGGAGATACCTGAAAATAGCTGTGCAGCAACTCTCCCCATCCAACCTGACAGAGCTTGAGAGGATCTGCAGAGAAGAATGGGAGAAACTCCCCAAATACAGGTGTGCCAAGCTTGTAGCGTCATACCCAAGAAGACTTGAGGCTGTAATCGCTGCCAAAGGTGCTTCAACAAAGTACTGAGTAAAGGGTCTGAAAACTTATGTAAATTTCTAAAAACCAGTTTTTGCTTCGTCATTATGGGGTATTGTGTGTAGATTGATGCGGGGACAAAACTATTTAATCAATTGTAGAATAAGGTTGTAACGTAACAAAATGTGGAAAAAGTCAAGGGTTGTGAATAGTTTCCGAATGCACTGTACGTACATACCTCAACCCTCACCCATATCCGCTGAAAAAATTATAATAATAAAGTATGTTGAAAGTCACCAGCATTAACATGGAGTTGGTCCCCTCTTTGCTTCTATAACAGCCTCCACTCTTCTGGGAAGGCTTTCCACTAGATGTTGGAACATTGCTGCGGGGACGTGCTTCCATTCAGCCACAAGAGCATTAGTGAGGTCAGTCACTGATGTTGGGCGATTAGGCGCTGGCTCACAGTCGGCGTTCCAATTCATCCCAAAGGCGTTCTATGGGGTTGAGGTCAGGGCTCTGTGCAGAACAGTCAAGTTCTTCCAACACTGATGTCGACAAACCATTTCTGTATGAACCTCGCTTTGTGCACCGGGCATTGTCATGCTATAATGTCATTGTATGCTGTAGTGATAGATATCCCTTAATATATATGGCAAATAGAAATCAAAACTGGATGGTCTTCAGGAGATAGATGGGAGGGGTTGAGGGTAGCTGAAGGATGGGATAAAAACATTAAAAAAGATAACTATTGTAAAATGTGTCTGTGACATGTATTTAGTATAGGTAAGCTGGAAATAGAAGCCTAAGTGTTGTTGTCCATTAGTTTACTCCAATTAGGGGAGGGGTGGTGGGGTTAGGGGAAAATAATAAAGGAAAATATATTGTAAAAATATATATATTTAACATACGGTACCAGTCAAAAGTTTGGACACATCTACTCATTCAAGGGTTTTTCCTTATTTTGACATTTTTTTACATTGTAGAATAATAGTGAAGACATCAAAACTATGAAATAACACATATGGAATCATGTAGTAACCAAAAAAAGTGTTAAACAAATCAAAATATATTTTAAATGTGAGATTCTTCAAAGTAGCCACCCTTTGCCTTGATGACAGCTTTGCACACTCTTGGCATTCTCTCAACCAGCTTCATGAGGTAGTCACCTGGAATGCATTTTCAATTAACAGCTGTGCCTTCATAAAAGTTAATTTGTGGAATTTCTTTCCTTCTTGAGCCAATCAGTTGTGTTGTGACAAGGTAGGGAGGGTATACAGAAGATAGCCTTATTTGGTAAAAGACCAAGTCCATATTATGGCAAGAACAACTCAAATAAGCCAAGAGAAACGACAGTCCATCATTACTTTAAGACATGAAGGTCAGTCAATACGGAACATTTCAATAATTTTTTAGTTTCTTCAAGTGCAGTCACAAAAAGATTGTTTTGTTGCAAGTTGAAAGAGTCTGAATTAATGCGAAACGCTGTATACAACATGGGATCGTGTTAGGATATAAAAATGGATTTCATCCAACAAAACTATGCTACATTTGATCTCTGAGACCCTCAGGATGACAAATTAGAGCAAGATTACTGAATGTAAGTACATTATTTACCTTCAGAGGTGAATGTATCAAACCAGTTGCCGTGATAAAAGTGTTTTGTTGTTGTGAACTATCCTCAAACAATAGCATGGTATTTTTTCGCTGTAATAGCTACTGTAAATTGAACACTGCAGTTAGATTAACAATAATTTAAGCTTTCTGCCCATATAAGACATGTCTATGTCCCATGAAAGTTGGCTGCTGTTTACAACGTCATTCTAGTCACATTATCGCATATTGAGCAACAACTGTCCCGATTTCAGGACACCGATCCAGTAGAGGTTTTAGTGTTGAGTTAGATTACACCTATCCACCACCTCAATCGCTATTTCAAGTCATTTTGGTGACATCACAGCAATTGCTAGCTAGCTAACACAAGTTAGGAGGCTCAGCAACAACAACAGAACCACCCCTAGATACAGCCACGTCTCACAGCCACGTCTCCCAGCCACGTCTCACAGCCACGTCTCACAGCCACGTCTCACAGCCACGTCTCACAGCCACGTCTCACAGCCATGCCTGAGATTTGCTCGACTCCACCTTTATATAAACATAAATCTGGTGCTGGATCCTGGGGTATGAGCCCTTCTACAGCAGTCAAGGCAATGGCTATCAACGTCACAACAAGAAGACATTTACATTTACATCATTTAGCAGACGCTCTTATCCAGAGCGACATACAAATTGATGCATTCAACTTCTGATATTGAGTTGGACAACCACTTTTTTTTTTCTTTTTTTTTTTTTTTTAATGGGGGGGTGGGGGAGGAATGTCATTGTATGCTGTAGAGTTAAGATTTCCCTTCACTGGAACTATGGGGCCTAGCCCGAACCATGAAAAACACCCCCAGACCATTATTCCTCATCCACCAAACATTAGAGTTGGCACTATGCATTCGGGCTGGTAGCGTTCCCCTGGCATCTGCCAAACCCAGATTAGTTCGTCGGACTGCCAGATGGTGAAGCGTGATTCATCACTCCAGAGAACATGTTTCCACTGCTCCAGAGTCCAATGGCGGCTAGTTTTACACCACTCCAGCCGACGCTTGGCATTGCGCATGGTGATCTTAGGCTTGTGTGTGGCTGCTCGGCCATGGAAACCCATTTCATGAAGCTCCAGACTAACAGTTATTGTGCTGACGTTGCTTCCAGAGGCAGTTTGGAACTCGGAAGTGAGTGTTGCAACCGAGGACAGACGATTTTTACGTGCTACGGGCGTCAGCACTCAGTGGTCCCGTTCTGTGAGCTTGTGTGGCCTACCACTTCGCGGCTGAGCCGTTGTTGCTCCTAAACGTTTCCTCTTCACAATAACAGCACTTACAGTTGACCGGGGCAGCTCTAGCAGGGCAGAGATTTGACAACTGACTTGTTGAAAAGGTGGCATCCTATGACGGTACCACGTTGAAAGTCACTGAGCTCTTCAGTAAGGCCATTCTACTGCCAATGTTTGTCTATGGAGATTGCATGGCTTTGTGCTCGATTTTATACACCTGTCAGCAACGGGTGTGGCTGAAATACCTGAATGGCATATTAAATAACCAAATCCAGTCATTTAAAGGGGTGTCCACATTTTTTTTGAGTCATTTAGCAGACGCTCTTATCCAGAGCGACTTACAGGAGCAATTAGGGTTAAGTGCCTTGCTCAAGGGCACATCGGCAGATTTTTCACCTAGTCGGCTCGGGGATTAGAACCAGCTTCCTTTCGTTACTGGCACAGCACTCTTAACCACTAAGCTACCTGCCGCCCCAGATACATACTTCTGTATAAATAGAGGTTGTCTTACATAGCTATCTTTAGATAAATGCTGAAGTCTCTCTGGGTAAAAGCTCTTCTAAATGACTAAAATGGAAATGTTACAGGGAACTGCCAAAATAAAGGAAACACTTGAGTAAATGAGGTGCTTCCACACAGGTGAGGTTCCTGAGTTCATTAAGCAGTTAACATCCCATAATGCTTAGGGTCACGTATAAAAATGCCCAGTTCCAATTATTTTCATTACCATGGCTAGAAGAAAATATCTCAGTGACTTTGAAAGATGGGTCTCAAAAGAGAATAGGGGGTTTAGAGTGTGTATGTCAGTCACCAGATGATCTCAACCCAATTGAACACTCATGGGAGATTCTGGAGCAGCGCCTGAGACCACGTTTTCCACCAACATCAACAAAACACCAAATGATGGAATTTATCGTAGAACAGCCTGGTCTCATAGACTAGACGTAACATAGTAAAGTAAATCCGTGACACTCTAATTGGTGTGATATGTTACCTTTGGTATGGTTACATAAGATAGAAGGTTACTGACAACTTTAGTATTTAAGCTATTTAGCAACTTTTTCAACTACTTACTACTTTTTAGCTACTTTGCAACTACTTAGCATGTTAGCTAACCCTTCCCCTAACCCTAACCCATTAACCTAACTCCTAAACTTAACCCTAACCCCGAACCTAGCTAACATTAGCCAGTTAGCTAACGTTAGCCACCTAGCTAGAATTCATAACATATACGTTTTGCAAATTCGTAACATATTGTACGTTTTGCAAATTCGTAACATACACTACCGATCAAAAGTTTTAGAACACCTACTCATTCAAGGGTTTTTCTTTATTTTTACTATTTTTTACATTGTAGAATAATAGTGAAGACATCAAAACTATGAAATAACACATATGGAATCATGTAGTAACCAAAAAAGTGTTAAACAAATCAAAATATATTTTATATTTCAAATTCTTCAAATAGCCACCCTTTGCCTTGATGACAGCATTGCACACTATTGGCATTCTCTCAACCAGCTTCATGAGGTAGTCACCTGGAATGCATTTCAATTAACAGGTGTGCCTTATTAAAAGTTAATTTGTGGAATTTCTTTCCTTCTTAATGCGTTTGAGCCAATCAGTTGTTTTGTGACAAGGTAGGGGTGGTATACAGAAGATAGCCCTATTTGGTAAAAGACCAAGTCCATATTATGGCAAGAACAGCTCAAATAAGCAAAGAGAAATGACAGTCCATCGTTACTTTAAGACATGAAGGTCAGTCAATACGGAACATTTCAAGAACTTTGAATGTTTCTTCTAGTGCAGTCGCAAAGACCATCAAGCGCTATGATGAAACTGGCTCTCATGAGGACCACCACAGGAATGGAAGACCCAGAGTTACCTCTGCTGCAGAGGAGAAGTTAATTAGAGTTACCAGCCTCAGAAATTGTAGCCCAAATAAATGCTTCACAGAGTTCAAGTAACAGACATCTCAACATCAACTGTTCAGAGGAGACTGTGTGAATCAGGCTTTCATGGTCGAATTGCTGCAAAGAAACCACTACTAAAGGACACCAATAAGAAGAAGAGACTTGTTTGGTCCAAGAAACACATGCAATGGACATTAGACCAGTAGAAATGTGTCCTTTTGTCTGGAGTCCAAATTTGAGATTTTTGGTTCCAACCGCCGTGTCTTTGTGAGACGCAGTGTGGGTGAACGGATGATCTCCGCATGTGTATTTCCCACCGTAAAGCTTGCAGGAGTAGGTGTTATGGTGTGGGGGTGCTTTGCTGTGATTTATTTAGAATTCAAGGCACACTTAACCAGCATGGCTACCACAGCATTCTGCAGTGATACGCCATCCCATCTGGTTTGGGTTTAGTGGGACAATCATTTGTTTTTCAACAGGACAATGACCCAACACACCTCCAGGCAGTGTAAGGGCTATTTTACCAAGAAGGAGAGTGATGGAGTGCTGCATCAGATGACCTGGCTTCCACAATCCCCCAACCTCAACCAAATTGAGATGGTTTGGCATGAGTCGGACCGCAGAGTGAAGGAAAAGCAGCCAACAAGTGCTCAGCATATGTGGGAACTCCTTCAAGACTGTTGGAAAAGCATTCCAGGTGAAGCTGGTTGAGAGAATGCAAAGACTGTGCAAAGCTGTCCTCAAGTTTAAAGGGTGGCTATTTGAAGAAATATATTTCGATTTGTTTAACACTTTTTTGGTTACTACGTGATTCCATATGTGTTATTTCATAGTTTTGATGTCTTCACTATTATTCTACAATGTAAAAAATAGTAAAAATAAAGAAAAACCCTTGAATGAGTAGGTGTTCTAAAACGTTTGACCGGTAGTGTATAATACGAAGCGTAACTCGTAACATATCATACGAATGGGTGATGGACATCCACAAATTAATACATACCATACGAAACGTAACATATCATACTAAATGGAGAGTCTCGGATTTGCGTACAGAATAATATGAAATGCTCTGAGACCAGGTTGAATAATGGCGTCGCATCCCTCCAATAGAGTTCCAGACACTTGTAGAATCTATGCCGAGGCACATTGAAGCTGTTCTGGTGGCGGCCCAATGCCATATTAAGACATTCACAATAATGATGTTTCCTTTATTTTGTCAGTTACCTCTACACCTAGCACAGATAGCCTAGAAATGATGCTTATATTTAAATACATCGAATAGGATGTTATTCAATCAAAATTATTATTATTTATTATAGGACTAAATAAAATATTTTATGGCTCGTGCAAGGCGAGCATGTTCACTTGCACGTAATAGAGCTAAAGTCAAAATCCCCAATCAGTCTAAATGTGAGGAGATATAATAATATCCCCCTGCAATAACCCTATAATCACATGTCCATTATCTGCCCACTATGTGCATGAACCTCTTCACCCGCCAAACCACAACAGATAGCCAAGACAGATCCCTCTGGTTCGTGGTTTAAAGAGATACACACGCAATTCCCCCCAAAACATGTCAATCCTTTATAATGGTAGCCTATAACTGGTATCTTACCACCGTCGCCGTAGGTCTCGATCCCATATCCGTCCTGTAGCCCGTTACTCCACGTCCCGTCGTACCTCGCAGGTGTATTGTGGCTCTGTCGGAGTCCATAGCGACCCTTGAAGCCGTGACTCCACTCACCACGGCAAATCCACTTCCCTTTGGTTTCGACTCCCAGTCCATGCCGCTTCCCCAGAGACCAGTAGCCATGGTACATATTCCCGCTGGGCCAGGTGTACACCCCCACTATCTCAAAGCCGTGCGACCAGGAGCCGGCGTACTCGCCCTGGCCTTTGGGCCCGGTACAGATGCCATGTCCGTGGGCTTTGCCGTCCTCCCATCCTCCGCAGTATGTTCCTCCATCGTCGAAGTCGAACCGTCCGCCCGTCATTCAGAACAGCCACGAAATGGAGCAGAACTCTACAGCCGTAGACTGACTTAATGGTGTCGTTATTATCCCCCCCCCCCCCCAGAAGGGATCCAGCACGGAGCCGAGAGGTGGAGAAAACAGAGAGATGACTCTGTTTGCACAATAACTAAAAAGAAACAGAAACAGTGATGGTGGTGATTATGGGCAGTGTGTGGTTCCAAGCGATTGATATGTAAAGAGAAAAGCATGCGTAAGGTGGTTAGTGTGTGTGTGTGTGGTTAGGGTAGGGGATGAATGGGGAAGTCATTTACCGGAGTCGCACGCGGTATCCGCCGCTGTGTGATAGCTCGTCTCCCCCCTCCACTGATCAGAGGGAGAGAGAGAAACATCGAGTCTCCAAACAAGAAAGACGCGGCCAATTTCTACGTCACGCCAGTAGAACCTCCCACACCGCCACCCCCTCAGCTAATAATGAGGGTGTGCGCGCTCTGTATTATGTGCCGCTGTTCGCCGGTAACACATAGTTCAAGTAGCAGACCAGCGGTGAGATAGCCACCGCCGCTACCGGTGTCGCAACCGGGTGCTGCCGATGCCACCGGTCGGTGCGGTGACTTTTGAAATACTCGCGCCTACTGCCTAGCACAGGTGTGTGTTCCCTCTACAGAATGGCTCTCTTTGGAGGTGTGAGTGAACAGGGAGGTAAAATATAAATGTCCTATGCGATCCATAGAGATCCTACTAAATGAGTATTCTAATTCCTAATCAATGACACGGTCACTGTAAGATTGTTGATTTTAGGCAAAGCTCTCAAAGTGTTGGAATGAAAAAGAATATGTACATAATATAAAATGTACATTCTGTTGTTGAAGGCCTTCTGCTTAGGCTACTTTTTGTGACAAGTGTATTTAAGTAATTTTCTTAAATCTATCAACCTATAGTTGTACCCCTATCTATGAATACAACATCTAAGCTTTTTTTTTTTTTTAAATAGGCTATAATAAGGTCAAACTCTAATTCTTAATTCTACACAACTTGATTATTCAATCAGTTTAGACATGATGAAAACATTTTAGCTTCAATCGAATGGAAACTGTGAATTTGTCAATACTGTACTGACAATATCACAAATCAAAGACCTCGACGGAGATTTGAGTGGTCCTCTGTAGCTCAATTGGTAGAGCACGGCGCTTCTAACGTCCAGGGTAGTGGGTTCGATCCCCGGGACCACCCATACGTAAAAATGTATGCGCACGTGACTGTAATTCGCTTTGGATAAAAGCGTCTGCTAAATGGCATATTATTATAATATCACAAATCGAAAAGCTCGACGGAGATTTGAAAAAGGAATGGGATAACAGCGACCTCTGCTGATGACTGGGAAGTAATGGTCAACACACTTATTACAGAGAGGAGTTCTACGTAGAGCTGTCGGACACAACCTCTCACAAGCGAGGATTTATCAAATTACAAAGACCATTTTCTAAAACTAGTAGGAGATTTCTTGCTATTATATTACACCTTTTACAGAAACTAAATAAATAGCCTACTATGTAGGCTTTCTAAATATAGATCTGCCACTTAGGCTTACAGAACACACAGACGTAGGCCTAATCGAAGTTGTGATCTTTCAGAGTGGGACTTACAGCATTCCCGTTCATCTCTCATTCATCAGTCCGGATGAACCTCAGAGGGGTGTGATGCTGATGACGTCTCAAACGGTCGTCACTAGTTACAACAGCCACAAATTTCTAAACCCCGCCTATTTCTACAATTTCTCATCTTAACACATCTGATTTTGAACCTATCCCCCTAACCTTAACCCTAACCTTAACCACACTGCTATACTTATGCCTAATCATAGCCTTAAATTAAGTCCAAAAAGCTCATTTCTGTTTTCATACATTTTTATGATATAGACCATTTTGACTTTGTGGCTGTGGTAACTAGTGACAACCGTCCCAAACACAGCACAACACAGCGACAGACAGATAGCTAAAATGGCGGCGGAAAACAGCGCCGAGTCTCTGGATGAGAAAGAAATCCTCATTAACAAGGGTGCTGTTCAGGAGGTACAACAAGAGAGCGGAGCTGTCACAGAAAGCACGAATTCCAAACCATCCAAAATGACACTGTATCATTGGACGCAGTCCTTCAGTTCGCAGAAGGTGAGTGATTCAGCACCAATCCTTAACGGACAGCTCCTAAAGGGTATCCGGTGGATTGCGTGACTAGGCAAGGTATAGCGACATGCTAATCAAAATAACACTTATCTGACAATATAAATGAAGTTATAGCATCATATCGGCTTTTGCAGCTCGTAAGATGTGTCCAAAAACGGACTGAAACCAGGCTGGCTACAACAAATGGTTTGCTATTTCTGCTTGAACAGGAAGCTGGATATATTAGCCAACATGCACATGGCCTTGATTACAGCTAAATCCCAGTTCCATATCCATATGCGTTGAATACAAGTCCACAGTCCCATCATAGTGAATGCTTTAAAGTCCTACTCCAGGGTAGGCATGAATGTCCTTCTCCTTTAAGTATGCTGTTTTGTCTATAAAACCATATTTTGCTCAAAACATATTTTTTTAACCTTTAGTGTGCACTTTACTGTATTTATACTTGGGATATCACTTTTCAACAGGACAACAATTATCTGGAGGACACCTTTAAGTACCAGATGCTGTATTGTAGCTGTATTGTAGGTGTATTGTATGTGTAGCTGTATTGTAGGTGTAGCTGTATTATATGTGTAGCTGTATTGTAGCTGTATTGTAGGTGTAGCTGTAGTGTAGGTGTAGCTGTATTGTAGGTGTAGCTGTATTGTAGCTGTATTGTAGGTGTAGCAGTATTGTAGGTATAGCTGTATTGTAGCTGTATTGTAGGTGTAGCTGTATTGTAGCTGTATTGTAGGTGTAGCTGTATTGTAGGTGTAGCTGTACTGTAGGTGTAGCTGTATTGTAGGTGTATGTTGTAGGTGTAGCTGTATTGTAGGTGTAGCTGTATTGTAGGTGTAACGTCTTGTACTGTATGTGGTAGCTGTATTTAGGTAGTTATTGTAGTGTAGCTGTATGTATGTACGTATGAGGTGTAGCTGTATTGTAGGTGTAGCTGTATTGTAGGCTGTATTGTAGGTGTATGTGGTTAGGTGGGTAGCTGTATTGTAGGTGTAGCTGTATTGTTGTATTGTAGGTGTAGCTGTATTGTAGGTGTAGCTGTATTGTAGGTTATTGTAGTGTAGCTGTATGGTGTAGCTGTATTGTAGGGCGTTTGTAGGGGAGCTGTATTGTAGGTGTATGATTGTAGGTGTAGCTGTATTGGTTAGGTGTAGCTGTATGTAGGTGTAGCTGTAAGTGTAGCTGTATTGTAGGTGTAGCTGTATTGTAGGTGTAGCTGTATTGTAGGTGTTGTAGCTGTTGTATTGTATTGAGGTGTAGCTGTATTGTAGGTGTAGCTGTATTGTGTAGGTGTATTGTAGGTGTACTGTATTGTAGGTGTGTATAGCTGTATGTAGGGTAGCTGTGTATGTAGCTGTATTGTAGTGTATTTTAGGTGTATTGTAGTGTAGCTGTATTGTAGGTGTAGCTGTATTGTAGGTGTAGCTGTATTGTAGCTGTATTGTAGGTGTAGCTGTATTGTAGGTGTAGCTGTATTGTAGGTGTATTGTAAGTGTAGCTGTATTGTAGGTGTAGCTGTATTGTAGGTGTAGCTGTATTGTAGTGTAGCTGTATTGTAGGTATGTATTGTGTATTGTAGGTGTAGCTGTATTGTAGTGTAGTTTTAGGGTGTAAATTTTAGTGTAGGTAGTGATTGTAGGTGTAGCTGTATGTAGTGTAGGTTGGTGTAGCTGTATTGTAGCTGTATTGTAGGTGTAGCTGTATTGTTAGTGTATTGTAGGTGTAGCTGTATCTGTAGGTATTATTGTAGTGTAGCTGTATTGTAGCTGTATTGTAGGTGTAGCTGTATTGTAGGTGTAGCTGTATTGTAGGTGTAGCTGTATTGTAGGGTATTGTAGGTGTAGCTGTATTGTAGGTGTAGCTGTACTGTAGGTGTAACTGTATTGTAGGTGTAGCTGTATTGTAGGTGTAGCTGTAGTGTAGGTGTAGCTGTATTGTAGGTGTAGCTGTATTGTAGCTGTATTGTAGGTGTAGCTGTATTGTAGGTGTAGCTGTATTGTAGGTGTAGCTGTATTGTAGGTGTAACTGTATTGTAGGTGTAGCTGTATTGTAGTGTAGCTTATTGTAGGTGTAGCTGTATTGTAGGTTTTAGCTGTATTGTAGGTGTAGCTGTAGTGTAAGCTGTATTGTAGGTGTAGCTGTATGTAGGTGTAGCTGTATTGGTAGGTGTACTGTATTGTAGGTGTAGCTGTATTGTAGGTGTAGTGTAGTGTACTGTATTGTAGCTGTATTGTAGGTGTAGCTGTATTGTAGCTGTAGTGTAGTTGTAGCTGTATTGTAGGTGTAGCTGTATTGTAGGTGTAGCTGTATTGTAGGTGTAACTGTATTGTAGGTGTAGCTGTATTGTAGGTGTAGCTGTAGTGTAGGTGTAGCTGTAATTGTAGTGTAGTATTGTAGCTGTATTTGTACTGTATTGTAGGTGTACGTTTAGTGTAGCTGTATTGTAGGTGTAGCTGTAGTGTAGTGTAGTTGTATTGTTATGTGTGTAGTGTAGGTGTAGCTGTATTGTAGGTGTAGCTGTATTGTAGGTGTAGTGTAGGTGTAGCTGTATTGTATGTAGCTGTATTGTAGGTGTAGCTGTATTGTAGGTGTAGCTGTATTGTAGCTGTATTGTAGGTGTAGCTGTATTGTAGTAGGTTGTAGCTGTATTGTAGGTGTAGCTGTATTGTAGGTGTTAGCTGTTAAGTGTAGCTGTATTGTAGGTGTAGCTGGTGTATTGTAGGTGTAGCTTTGTAGAGTGTAGGTGTAGCTGTATTGTAGGTGTAGCTGTATTGTAGTGTATTGTAGGTGTAGCTGTATTGTAGGTGTAGCTGTATTGTAGGTGTAGCTGTATTGTAGGTGTATGTAGGTGTAGCTGTATTGTAGGTGTAGCTGTATGTGGTTATTGTGTGTATGTTGTAGGTGTAGCTGTATTGTAGCTGTATTGTAGGTGTAGCTGTATTGTAGGTGTAGCTGTATTGTAGCTGTATTGTAGGTGTAGCTGTATTGTAGGTGTAGCTGTATTGTAGGTGCTGTACTGTAGGTGTAGCTGTATTGTAGGTGTAGCTGTATTGTAGGTGTAGCTGTATTGTAGCTGTATTGTAGGTGTAGCTGTATTGTAGCTGTAGTGTATTGAGGTGTAGCTGTATTGTAGGTGTAGCTGTATTGTAGGTGTAGCTGTATTGTAGGTGTAGCTGTATGTAGTGTAGCTGTATTGTAGGTGTAGCTGTATTGTAGGTGTAGCTGTATTGTAGGTGTATTGTAGGTGTAGCTGTATTGTAGGTTTTGTAGGTGTAGCTGTATTGTAGGTTTAGCTGTATTGTAGGTGTAGCTGTATTGTAGGTGTAGCTGTATTGTAGGTGTAGCTGTATTGTAGGTGTAGCTGTATTGTAGGTGTAGCTGTATTGTAGGTGTAGCTGTACTGTAGGTGTAGCTGTATTGTAGGTGTAGCTGTATTGTAGGTGTATTGTAGGTGTAGCTGTGCTGTAGGTGTAGCTATACTGTAGGTATAGATGTATTGTAGGTGTAGATGTATTGTAGGTGTAGCTGTATTGTTGTGCTGCACTGGAAGGGTCTGTATTGTAGGGGGGTTTGGTCATAGTAGAGAAGGGTCTGTCCTGTCCAGTATGAAAAATGTATGCACTCACTAACTGTAAGTCACTCTGGATAAGAGCGTCTGCTAAATGACTAAAATGTAAATGTAAATTGTAGGGGTGTCTGGTCATAGTATAGAATTATCTGTCTTGTAGGGAGGTCTGGGCATAGTAGAGAAGGGTCTGTACTGTACATGTTAACTAATCCTGTACCTGTCCTGTCTAGGTGCGTCTGGCCATAGCAGAGAAGGGACTGATCTGTGAGGAGTATGATGTCAGTCTGCCTCTTAGTGAACACAACGAGCCCTGGTTCATGAGACTGAACCCGGCAGGAGAGGTACCAGTCCTCGTACACCATGACAACGTCATCACAGACCCAGTTCAGATCATGGACTATCTGGACCAGAACTTCAGAGATGGCAAGTCACTGACTAACATTAACCCCTGATCCCTAGCCCTACTGAAGCCAGTAACTAGGAGACAGCTATGGGGGCTGGGTAACCCATAACAAATCAGGGTCCCCCCTAATACATGTCAAGAACCCCCAAATTGTCAATGTATAATTTGATCCCTGATTGTACACATTGATTTTCAGTTTCAGTTTTGTTCCCCTTTTTTTTGCTTCCACTCTCAACATCCCTGCTTCCACTCTCAACATCCCTGCTTCCACTCTCAACATCCCTGCCTCCACTCTCAGCATCCCTGCTTCCACTCTCAACATCCCTGCCTCCACTCTCAACATCCCTGCTTCCACTCTCAACATCCCTGCTTCCACTCTCAACATCCCTGCCTCCACTCTCAACATCCCTGCCTCCACTCTCAACATCCCTGCTTCCACTCTCAACATCCCTGCTTCCACTCTCAACATCCCTGCTTCCACTCTCAACATCCCTGCCTCCACTCTCAACATCCCTGCTTCCACTATCAACATCCCTGCCTCCACTCTCAACATCCCTGCCTCCACTCTCAACATCCCTGCTTCCACTCTCAACATCCCTGCCTCCACTCTCAACATCCCTGCTTCCACTCTCAACATCCCTGCCTCCACTCTCAACATCCCTGCCTCCACTCTCAACATCCCTGCCTCCACTCTCAACATCCCTTCTTCCACTCTCAACGTCCCTGCTTCCACTCTCAACATCCCTGCTTCCACTCTCAACATCCCTGCCTCCACTCTCAACATCCCTGCTTCCACTCTCAACATCCCTGCTTCCACTCTCAACATCCCTTCCTCCACTCTCAACATCCCTGCTTCCACTCTCAACATCCCTGCCTCCACTCTCAACATCCCTGCTTCCACTCTCACATCCCTGCTTCCACTCTCAACATCCCCTGCCTCCACTCCAACATCCCTGCCTCCACTCTCAACATCCCTGCCTCCACTCTCAACATCCCCTGCTTCCACCTCAACATCCCTGCTTCCACTCTCAACTCCCTTCCTCCCACTCTCACCCGTCCCTGCTTCCACTCTCAACATCCCTGCCTCCACTCTCAACATTCCCTGCTTCCACTCTCAACATCCCTGCTTCCACTCTCACATCCCTGCCTCCACCTCTCAACAATCCCTGCTTCCCTCACATCCCTGCCTCCACTCTCAACATCCCTGCTTCCACTCTCAACATCCCTGCCTCCACTCTCAACATCCCCTTCTTCCACTCTCAACATCCCTGCTTCCACTCTCAACATCCCTTCCCTCCACTCTCAACATCCCTGCTTCCACTCTCAACATCCCTTCCTCCACTCCAAACATCCCTGCTTCCACTCTCAACATCCCTGCCTCCACTCTCAACATCCCTGCTTCCACTCTCAACATCCCTGCTTCCACTCTCAACATCCCTGCCTCCACTCTCAACATCCCTGCCTGTACTCTCAACATCCCTGCCTGTACTCTCAACATCCCTGCCTCCACTCTCAACATCCCTGCCTCCACTCTCAACATCCCTGCCTCCACTCTCAACATCCCTGCTTCCACTCTCAACATCCCTGCCTGTACTCTCAACAGTGTTTTAACCAGCAGTTTGCAAACTGTTCATTTGGATATTTTTTTACTATTATTATTATTATTATTATTATTATTATTATTATTATTATTATTATTATTATTATTATTATTATTATATTATTATAGTAATAACAATAATAATAATAATTATCATTATTATTGTTATATTATTATTATTATTATTATTATATTATTATTATTGTTATTATTATTATTATTATTATTATTATTGTTATTGTTATATTATTATTATTATTATTATTATATTATTGTTATTATTATTCTTATTATTATTATTATTGTTATTATTATTATTATTATTATTGTATTATTATTATTATTATATTATTATTGTTGTTATTATTATCCTCTCTTTGCTCATTTTGTTCATTCATTATTATCAGTTTCATTGTGTTGGTTTAAATGGATCCATATCTTGTTATTCAGCATGCCTAGTCTACTGCAGATAAGGAGAAAGAGGAGATATTCTGGTAAGCATACGGAGAGGAGTGGAGTGGTTTTATAGATTTATTTGAAAAATATCTCTCAAATACAAGCACATATATAATTGTATTTGAGAAAACTTTTCAAATAAATCAATTTGCTTTATTTATTTAACTTGCCCATGCCTAATGACAATACCTTTTGCAGGTTCACACTTTAAATGAATTGTCTGTCGCTATATTCAGACAAAACAGAATGATAACCTTTATTAGAATGATCTATCTCAGTGTTTCCCAAACCTCTCCTCCAGGAGCCTCAGCCAGGCCACTTCATTAATGTATTCCAGAACTAACACAACTGGTCACCTAATCATCAAGCCCTTCATTAGTTGAATCTGCATTGCTGCTCCTGGAATACATCAACTAACCGTGCCGGCTGTGGGTACTGGAGGAGAGGTTTGGGTAATGCTGCTCCATTGTAATGATCTTGTTCATTAACCATGTGTTTCTCCGTCCTTTGTCTCTGTGTGTGTCTGTAGAGGGAACCGCTAAGCTGATCCCTGAGGAAGGCAGTGTGTACTACCACAGAGTACAGCACTACAGAGAGCTACTGGATTCTCTGCAGATGGATGCCTACACACACGGCTGTATTCTCCACCCAGAGATCACTGTGGACTCACACATCCCAGCCTACGCCACCACCCGCATCCGAGGTAAGACACGCACACACACACACACACACACGCACACACGCACGCACGCACGCACGCACGCACGCACGCACGCACGCACGCACGCACGCACGCACCACGCACACACACACCACACACACACACACTCCACGCACGCACTCACCGCACGCACACACACACATACACACACCCACACACACACACACACACACACACACCACACCAAGTATTTTAGGTGTAAACTGTTTGTAAAGGTTTTTAGCTGTATTGGGAGGTTTTATTGTAGGTGGGAGCTGTAAATTGGGGTGTAGGAGGGGTGCTGTATTGTAGGTGTAGCTGTATTGTAGGTGGAGGGTTTTAATGAGGTGGAGCTTATTGTAGGGGTAGCTGATTGTAGGTGTTTGTGGGTAGCTGTGGCTGCAGGTGTAGCTATACTGTAGGTTTTTTATTGTAGGTGTAGCGTAAATTTTTTTGGTGCTTCACGGAAGGGTCTGTATTGTAGGGGGTTTGGTCATAGTAGGAAGGGTTTTGTACTGTCCAGGATGAAAAAGGGGGCACTCCTAACGTAAGGCACTTGGGGTAAGAGCTTCTGCTAAATGAAATAAAAAGTAAATGTAAAATTGTAGGGGGGTCTGGTCTAGTATAAAATTTCTTTCCCTTTTAGGGGGGTCCCGGGGATAGTAGAGAAGGGTCTGTTGTAAAAAGTTTTCTAAACCTGTACCTGTCCTGTTAGGTGCGTCTGGCCATACAGAGAAGGGATAAGCAGCGCATGTAAACTGACTATGCTGTACCTGTCCCCGTCTAGGTGCGTCTGGCCCTAAACAGAGAAGGAAATGATCTGTTTAGGGGTAAAGATTCAGTTGCCTTTTTAGTGAACACAAAGAAACCCGGGTTTATGAGACTGAACCCGGGAAAGGGGAGGTCCCCTTTCCCCGACACCATGACCAAAGTCATCACCCGAAACCCCCCTTTTTAAACAGGGGGCTATCGGGGGCCCGAACTTAAAAGATGGCCAAAGTCACTGACCCAAAATTAACCCCGGGCCCCTAGCCCTACCCGAAGCCAGAAAGGAGACAGTAGGGGGGCGGGGGAAACCTAACAAAACAGGGGGCCCCCCCAAACAAAGTCCCGAACCCCCAAAATTTTCAATGTATAATTTATCCCGGGTTTTCACTTGATTTTTAAATTTTTTTTTCCCCTTTTTTTTCTTTCCCTCTCAAAATCCCTGCCTCCAAATTAAAAATCCCCGCCATCCAAATCTCAAAAATTTCCCCCCCTCCACTCTAAAAAAAACCCCCCTCCACTCTCAAAATCCCTTCCCCCCACTCTCAACATCCCTCCTCCACTCTCAAAATCCCTTCCTCCACTTCAAAAATCCCTGCCCTTTTTTCCCCCCTCCCCATTCCTTTCCCCCCCCTTAACATCCCTTTCCTCCACTCTTTAAATTTCCCCCCTTTCCCCTCTTTAACCTCCCGCTCCCCTCCCCAAATCCCTTCCCCCCACTCTCCCCATCCCGGTTCCCTCTCAAAAACCCTGCTTCCCCCTCTCAACCCTCCCTGCCTCCCCTCTCAACACCCCGCTTTCCCCTCTCACATCCCGCCTCCCACTCTTTTAACATCCTGCTTCCCCTCTCAAACCATGCCTCCACTCCCAACCTCCCTGCCCCCCACCCCTCAAAAATCCCGCCTCCACTCTCACCCTCCCCGTTCCACTTTAAAAATCCCTGCTTCCCTCTCAACATCCCGCCCCCAATCTCAACATCCTGCCTTCCCCTTCAACATCCCTGCCTCCATCTCCCAAAATCCCTTTCCTCCCTTTCAAAATCCCTGCCCCCACTCTCAACAAAACCCCGCCTAAATCCCCAACATCCCCGCCCCACTTTTCAACATCCCTGCCTCCACTTTTAAATCCCTGCTTCCCTCTTTAACCTCCCCCCTCCCCTTTCCCAAAATCCCTGCCTCCAAACTCAACATCCCTTTCCCCCAATCTCAACAAACCCTGCCTCCACTCTCAACATCCTGCTTTAAATCTCCCCCACCCTGCCTCCACCTCCATCCCCCCTCCATCTCAATTTCCCCCCCCTCCCCTCTCCCAAAACCCTTCCTCCCCCTCTCAACATCCCCGCTTCCACTCTCAACATCCCTGCTTCCACTCTTTACATCCCGGGCCCCCACTTCAACATCCCTGCCCCCATTCTCAAAAATCCCTGCCTCCCCTCTTTAACATCCCTGCCCTTTCCCCTCTCAAAATCCCTGCCTCCACTTCCCCCATCCCCGCCTCCCCTCCCCCAAATCCCGGGTTCCCCCTCTCAACAAACCCCCCTCCACTCCCAAAAATCCCCGCCCCCCCACTCCCAACAAACCCTGCCCTTTCCCCTCTCAACCCTCCCGCTTCCACTCCTCCCCTTCCCTCTTCCCTCCCTGCCCCCCCAATCTTTAACATTTCCCCGCCTTTCCCCCTCTCCCGCTTTTAAACACCCTGCCCCCACTCTCCAAAATCCCTGCCCCCACTCTCAACCCTCCCGCCCCTTCCTTCCCCCACGCCCAACAAACCCGGGCCCCCACTCTCAACCTCCCTCCTTTCCCCCCCCAAAATCCTTGCCTTTCCAAATTCCCCAACAACCCTGCCTCCACTCCCAACAAACCCTGCCCCCCACTCTCAACTCCCTGCCTCCACTCTCAAAACCCCTCCCCAAAACCCGCCTTTTCCCCTCTCAAAATCCCTTCCTCCACTCCCAAAATCCCCGCCTTTCCCCTTCAAAAATCCCTGCCTTTCCCCTCCAACATCCCCCCCCTGTCCACTCTCAAAAAAACCCCGCTTCCCCCTCAAATCCCTTTCCTTCCCCCTCTCAAAATCCCTGCTTTTCCCCTCTCAAAATTTTGCCCAATTTTTCAACAAACCCCCCCCTTCCCCTCCAACATCCCCGCTTTCCCCTCCAAACCCCTCCCTGCTTCCCCTTCAATCCCTGCTTTTCCCCTCTCAAAATCCCCGGTTTTCCCCCTCAAAAATCCCTGCCCCACTCTCAACCCTCCCGGGCCCCCTCTCAACACCCCGCTTCCCCTCTCAAATCCCTTTCTTTCCCCTCTCAAAAATCCCCCGGTTCACTCTCAACATCCCTGCCTTTCCCCTCCAACATCCCCCCTTTCCTCCACTCCAACATCCCCCCTTCCAACCCAACATTGTTTCTACACCCGCTTTCCCAAATGGCCCCCTTTAAAAAGGATTCCCCCCCTGTTATTAAAGTTTTTTAAATTTTGTTTTTATTTATCTTTTGTTATTTTTCATTTTATTAATTTGGTTTTTTTTTTTGTTTGGGTTTTAAATCCCTTTTTTTGTTTGGGTTTTTTTAAAAAGATCCTACTTTTTTCAGATTTTTCGGAGAAAAGGGGGAAAAAATTATTTTGGGAAGCTACGGAGGGAATGGGGGGTTTTTTTTATTTATTTTAAAAAAATCTCCAAATACAAGCAAATACGTTGGGGGGAAAAAAATATTTTGAACCACCAATTGTGCAATTTTCTCCCACTTAAAAAAATTGGAGGCCTGGAAATTCATCATAGGTAACGTTTAACAGGGCAGACAAAATTTAGAAAAAAAAAAACCCGAAAAAAACACATTGTAGGTTTTTCATGAATTTATTTGCAAAATTTTGGGAAAATAAATATTTGGTCACCCACAAACAAACAAGATTTTGGTCTCCAGACCCGGAACTTCTCTTTTAAAAGGCTCCCCGGGCCCCACTCAACCTGTAAATTAAAATTTGGGCACTGTGTGAACTTTTTATCAGTATAAAAGCCCTTTTCCCCCCAACCTCAAACAGCACCCCCTCCCCCAAAATCAAAAGGGGCCCAAAACCAAAGAGTGTCAACCCCACCCCCAAAACAAAAGGTAGAAACTGCACCCCGGCTTGGAAAGGGCTGAATCTTTCAAACAGGTTAAGGGTTTTGGGTTTGGGGGAAATCAACCCGTGGGGGCAATTATTTTTTGTAAATGGAAGACATACAAGACCACAGTAATCCCCCCCCGGGGCTGGGGCTCAACGCGATTAAACTCCCCCCCCCGTGGGGTCAAAAAGATCACAAGAACGGGAGCAAAAAAACCCCCGAAAAACCCCAAGGGGGGGGCCTAGGAATGAACCCGCGAGAGCTGGGAAAAGGGAAAAAGCCTCAACCAAATTTAGGGGGAACACACTAACCCGGGCCCGGGCCCGGGGGCTCAAATCCGCAGTTTCCAGAATTTTCCCCTGCTTAAGGGGGCCGGGGACAGTCCAGGGCCCCCTCTGAAGTTTGCTAAATGCATTTGGATGATCCAGAAAATTGGGAAAGTCATTTTTTTTTGGTTCAGGGTTTTTTTGGGGGTTTTTTTTTTTTTTGGTGAAAATTTTTTTTTTCCGTTTTTTTTTTGTTTTTTTGGAGGGGAAAAAAATGCTATTGCCTCCCAAAGAACAACCAAATTTAAGCTTTTGGGGGGGAAAATCAATGGGGTTTGGGGGTGTTTTTTTCGCAAAAGTGACCCGGAAAAAACTGAAACCCGTGTAAAGGAAAGGGGGGGGAAAAATGTGGGGGCCTTTTTCCGGTGAGATTTTGAGGGTGACAAAACCTTTTTAAAATCGCAAGGGCCCTTTTGGGGGAAGGAAAATTTTAAACCGGGGGGGCTGGGTCTTTCAGATGACAAAGACCCAAAAAACACCGCCCGGGCAAAGAAGGAGGGGTTCGTAAGAACCCTTTCAAGGTCCGGAGTGGCCTAGCCATCTCCCGATTCCCCCAAACCCCCCCTAGAAAATCTTTGGAAAGGGGGTTGAAAGTCCTTTTTCCCACGCGCCCCAAAAAATCATTTCTTGAGGAGTCTGCATGGGGGAATGGGCCCCAAAAAAACCACAAAATTTTGTGAAAAAACCCTTTTGAAGGCTTCAAAAATTTTTGACCTGTGTTTATTTCCCAAAAACCCGGGTAAAAAAACAAAGGTATTTAGAAAAAATTTTGGTTATTTAAACCCAAAACTTATGTTTCCCCCATAATTTTGCAAATAAATTCATGAAAAATCCCAAATGTTGATTTTTCTCGGATTTTTTTTCTAATTTTTGTCTGTCCCCCTAGGGGACCGTGTACCTTTTTGATGGAAATTACAAAGGGCCCCTCTGGCCCTCTTTTTAAGTGGGTAAACTTGCAAAAATTTTGTGGCTGACCAATTTTTTTTTTTCCCCCATTGGTATTTTGTAATTTTGGGAAAACCCCTTTTCAAATTAAATCCTTTGCCCTTTTTTTATTTAACTTGCCCTGCCTAATGACAATTAAAAAATTTTTCAGGTTTCACACTTTAAAGAATTGGTTGGCGCTATATTTAGACCAAAAAAGAATTAAACCTTTTTTAGAATTATCTTTTCTCCGGGGTTTCCCAAAAAACCCCCCTCCAATTGCCCCCCCAAGGCCGGCCCTTCAATTTAAGTAAATTTCCCGAACTAAAACAACTGGTCACCAATCATCAAAACCCTATTAGTTTAAATCTGCATTTCTGCCCCCTGGGAAAAATCCCAAATAACCGTGCCGGCTTTTGGGGTTTTCGTAAAGGGGGGTTTTGGGGAATTTCCCCCCCTTAAATTTTAATATCTTGTTTAATTAACCCAATTTTTGTTTTCTCCCCTTCTTTTCCGTTTTGTGTTTTTAGAGGGAAAACCCCTTAACCGATTTCCCCGGGAAAGGGATTGGGGTACACCCCCAGGTCCGCATCAGAGAGCTACCCCGGATTCTTGCAGATGGATGCCCAACCAAGGGTTGGGGATTTTCCACCCAGAGATCCTTTTGGACTCACACCCCCCCCGCCTACGCCACCCCCCCCGCATCCGAGGGAAGGAAACGCAAAAAAACCAAAAAACCGAAAACCCCGAAAAAACGCCCCCAAACTCCCCACCCACGCCCGCAACGCAACCCCAACCAAAGCCCCACCAAGAACCCCCAAAAACACACACACCAAAACGCACCCCACCAAAGAAACCCCAAAAAAACACCCTACACAAACAAACACACACACACCCCCACACCCACACACACGCACGCAACCCCCACCCACACCCCAAAACATACACACACACGCACGCCCCCCAACCACACCCAAAAAAACAAAAAAACCACAAACACACACAAACACACACACACCAAAATTCCCCTTTTGGGATATTGGGGGGTTTTTTTTTAAATGTGGTTTGTATTTGTGTTGACAGCACAGATAGGGAAAAACAGAGGGCAAAATGAAGAAGCGTGGGCTGAGGAAAAACCAGAGCTTAATAAGATGCTTACATAGCAAAACAAAGGTGTCGGTGTTAAGGACGGGCATTTTTCTGCTTAGGGCGGACGAGGAGGGAGGTAGGAGAAGGAGGATGAGAAGTAAGACGACGGAGGAGGGAAAAGGAGTACGGCGGCGGAGAGAAAAGGAGGAGGAGGAGAAGAAGAGAAGAAGAAGAAGCGTAGGCGGAGACGGAGAAGGAGAAGAAGAATGCTGAGAAGAATAAGGAGAAGAAGAAGGAGGATGAGACGAAGCGACGCAGAAGGAGGCGGGAGAAGGAGAAGGCGAAGAAGAAGGAGGCGTCGCAAAGAAGAAGACGACGGGGAGAAGGCGCCTAACTTCAGAGGATGTCTGCAGCCGCAGAAGAAGGGATCCATTAAGCCGGACGTCTTAGTCTTATTTTCTTCTTAGTCTTCTTCTTAGTCTTCTTCGTCTGATTATTCTTCTTACTTCTTCTTCTCTTCTTGGCCTTCGTCTCCTCTCCACCAGAGGAGGGCAGTAGTCAGTCTTGGCTGTGTGGAGAGTTCTTCAGCATGGCCGACCGTCTCCTGGAGTCACCTGGGGCCTCCCGCCGTTACTGGGGCAACGGGAACCGCAGCTCTTTTAGTAGACCTTTGAAACTGGAAACGTGTGCTAAACCATCTCTGATGATGTATTGAAAGCCTTACAGCCCCAGTTCCCTCCTTTTGTAGCACAAGCTGTTTGACCATGACAACATGAAGTATCTGAAGAAGATTCTGGATGAGTTGGAGAAGGTTCTGGACCAGGTGGAGACAGAGCTACAGAGGAGGGCAGAGGAGACACCGGGTAGGTATCCCACTGGAGAAGGTTCTGGACCAGGTGGAGACAGAGCTACAGAGGAGAGCAGAGGAGACACCAGGTAGGTATCCCACTGGAGAAGGTTCTGGACCAGGTGGAGACAGAGATACAGAGGAGACACCAGGTAGGTATCCCACTAGAGAAGGTTCTGGACCAGGTGGAGACATAGCTACTGAGGAGACACCAGGTAGGTATCACACTGGAGAAGGTTCTGGACAGGTTGGAGACAGAGTACTGAGGACGACACCAGGTAGGTTATCCCACATGGAGAAGGTCTGGACACAGGTGGAGACAGGAGATACAGAGGAGACACCAGGTAGGTATCCCACGGAGAGAAGGTTCTGAACAGGGGAAGTGGAAGCAAGCCAGAGCTACTGAGGAGACACCAGGTAGGTATCACACTGGAGAAGGTTCTGGACCAGGTGGAGACAGAGCTACAGAGGAGACACCAGGTAGGTATCACACTGGAGAAGGTTCTGGACCAGGTGGAGACAGAGCTACAGAGGAGACACCAGGTAGGTATCACACTGGAGAAGGTTCTGGACCAGGTGGAGACAGAGCTACGAGGAGAAACATGATAGTATCACAATGGAGAGGTTTCTGGACCAGGTGGAGAAACAGAGATACAGAGGAGGACCCCAGGTAGGTTATTCCCACTGGAGAAGGTTCTGGACCCAGGTGGAGACAGAGTACTCAGGAGACACCAGGTAGGTATCCCACTGGAGAAGGTTCTGGACCAGGTGGAGACAGAGCTACTGAGGAGACACCAGGTAGGTATCCCACTGGAGAAGGTTCTGGACCAGGTGGAGACAGAGATACAGAGGAGACACCAGGTAGGTATCACACTGGAGAAGGTTTGACAAGGTGGAGACAGAGATACAGAAGGAGTGACAACAGGTAGTATCACACTGGAGAAGGTCGGACCAGGTGGAGACAGGCTTACAGAGGAGACAATAGGGTAGTATCACACTGGAGAAGGTTCTGGACCAGGTGGAGATAGAGCTACAGAGGAGAGCAGAGGAGACACCAGTAGGTATCACACTGGATAAGGTTCTGGACCAGGTGGAGACAGAGCTACTGAGGAGAGCAGAGGAGACACCAGGTAGGTATCCCACTGGAGAAGGTTCTGGACCAGGTGGAGACAGAGCTACTCAGGAGACACCAGGTAGGTGTCCCACTGGAGAAGGTTCTGGACCAGGTGGAGACAGAGCTACTGAGGAGACACCAGGTAGGTATCCCACTGGAGAAGGTTCTGGACCAGGTGGAGACAGAGCTACTGAGGAGACACCAGGTAGGTATCACCACTGGAGAAGGTTCTGGACCAGGTGGAGGGACAGAGCTTATGAGGAGGACACCAGGGTAGGTATAACATGGAGAAGGTCTGGACAGGTGGGACAGAGCTACAGAAGAGACACCTGGTAGGTATCACACTGGAGAAGGTTCTGGACCAGGTGGAGACAGAGCTACTGAGGAGACACCAGGTAGGTATCACACTGGGAAGGTTGGGACCAGGTGGAGGATAGAGCTACAGAGGAGAGCAGGAGAACCCGTAGGTTATCCACTGGATAAGGTCTGGAAGGTGGAGACAGAGCTACTGAGGTGAGCAGAGGAGGGGGGAGCCACCAGGTAGGTTATCCAATGGAGAAGGTTCTGGACCAGGGGAGGACAGAGCACTCAGGAGACACCAGGTAGGTTGTCCCACTGGAGAGGTTCTGACAGGTGGAGCACAAGAGCTACTGAGGAGGGGACACCAGGTAGGGATCCCAATGGTGAGAAGGTCGGGACAAGGTGGAGACAGAGTACTGAGGGACACCAGGTAGGTATTCCCACTGGAGAAGGTTCTGGACCAGGTGGAGACAGGAGCTTCTGAGGAGACACCAGGGTAGGTATCAAACTGGTGGAGAAGTGCTGGACCAGGTGGAGACAGAGCTACTGAGGAGACATCAGGTAGCATACTGGAGATGAGAGGAATACACCTTTAATTAGACACACCTTTTTTTAGACAGAAGACACTAACAATCTTCTTCTTCTTCTTCTTCTTCTTCTTCTCTTCTTCTTCTTCTTCTTCTTCTCCTTCTTCTTCTTGTCCTTCTTCTCCTCTCCACCAGAGGAGGGCAGTAGTCAGTCTTGGCTGTGTGGAGGGTTCTTCAGCATGGACGACGTTCTCCTGCTGTTCACCCTGCACCGCCTCAAGTTCCTGGGGCTCTCCCGCCGTTACTGGGGCAACGGGAACCGCAGCAACCTGGAGACCTACTACGAGCGTGTCCTGGAGCGCCCGTCCTTCCGGAGGGTTCTGGGTCACGTAAACAACATCCTGATCTCGGCCGTGCTGCCCGCCGCGTTCCGGGTGGCCAAGCAACACGTGCCGGCTTTCGTCGGCACCACGCTGCTCATAGGCATCCTGGGAGGAGCCACGTACCTGGCCTTCCTTTACCTGAAGACCAGGATGTTATTAGGTAACGGTGAAAAAAAAGTTGTAGAGAAGATGAGAGAAGAGAGAGAGACAGAGAGAGACGAAGAGGGAGAGGAAGAGAGGAGGAGAGAGAGGGAGAGAGAGATGGGGGGCAAGGCAAGAGAGAGAGGAGAGAAGAAATAGCGGGGGAGGAAAAGAGAGAGAAAGAGAGGGGAGAGAGAGAGAGAAAGATGGGGAGGGAGAGAGAGAGAGAAGAGAAAGAGAGAGAGAGAGAGAGAGGGGGAGGGAAAGAGAGAGAGAGAGTATAGGGAGGGAGGAGATGCAGGAGGAAAAGGGGGGTAGGGAGAGAGAGAGAGGAAAAGAGAGAGAGTGGGGAGTGGGAGGAATGGAGAGAAAGAAGGAGAGAGAGAGAGATGGGGGAGGGAGAGGAGAGAAGAGATACTTAACCCAGAATGGGTTGCTTTACTCTGTAACACACAGCTTCCATTGCCCATTGCTGTACAGTGCATTGTGGTGCAGTGGATTGTCCATAACCATAGATACAATAGAATTTTTTATATAAACTTCATTGAATAAACTTTATTGACCACATAATGTGGACAGTTCTTCGCTGTGTTGCAGATTGCATTAGTTAAAGGCAAATGAAGCCTTTTCAGTAGCTTTAGTGGAGTATGTCGACTGTCAGTTGAGTAAACTGGGCTTCACCGTCTGTGATGCAGGCGGCAGGTAGCAGTGGTTAAAGAGTCGGGTGGCAGACCGAAAAGTAACTGGTTCAAATTCCCCGAGCCGACTAGGTTTGAAAAATCTGTCGATGTGCCATTGAGCAAGGAACTAACTGAATTGCTCCTGTAAGTCGCTCTGGATAGAGCGTCTGCTAATGACTAAAACAAAACATTGATTCTGGCAGTTTGGCTTGCCAGTTCTGTGCTGGTTTGGTTAACAGTATCTTGAAGCGTTTATTTCCAAACGCTTATATTTCACATTTGTGTTTTTTTTTAATCGGAAATTGATTGTGAGATGTGTGTGTGCTGTGATAAAAATATTATTGTTCTCAGATTTTTAATCATAGATTTTTAGATTTTTGTCAAAATGCTCGCTGTCCACTGTTTAGCTCGGCCCTGTCCTGTCCTGTCCTTGTCCTGATGTGAATTAACAACAGCTTCTCTCATTGATTAGAAATGTAATTATTTAGGGAGCGCAGAGAGAGGCGGAGAGAGAGAGAGCGGAAGAAGAAGAGAGAGAAAGAGAGAGCAGGAGAGAGGGGAGAGAGAGAGGGGGAGAGAGAAAGAGACGGTAGAGAGAGAGAGAGAGAGAGAGAGGGAGAAGAAAATAGAGAGGAGCGAGAGAGCGAGAGAGAGAGAGATGCGAGAGAGAGGAGAGATAGCAGGGAGAGAAAAAGAGCGAAGAAGAGAGGCGAGGAGAGAGAGAGAGCAGAGAGGAGAGCGAGAGAGAGAGAGAAACAGAGAGTCGGGAAGAAAGAGAGATCGGGCAAGAGCAGAGGGACGATTCAGGAGATAGCAGACTAAGAGAGAAGAGAGAGAGAGAGAGAGAGAGAGAGAGAGAGCGGGACGAGAGGCGAGGGAACGGAGAGAGGAGGAAACGAGCGAGAGAGGGTAGAGAGAGAGAGGAGAGAGAGAGAGGAGACAAAAACAAAGCGAAAGAAAAAAGAGAGAGATAAGAGAAGAGAGAGAGAGAGAGAGGGAGAGAGAAAAGAGAGAAAGAGCGAGAGAGAGAGAAGAGACGAGAGAGGAGAGAGAGCAGCAGGAGAGCGAAGAGCGAAAAGGGAAGAGAGGGGAAAGAGAGAGAGAGAGAGAGAGAGAGAGAGAGAGAGAGAGAGCGGAAGGGAGAGAGCGAGGGAGCGAGAGAGAGAGAGAGAGAAGAGAGCGCGAGAGAGAGAGAAAAAAAGAGAGAGAGAGAGAGAGGAAGAGAGAGCGAGAAGGAGAGAGAGAGAGAGAGAGAAGAGCGCTCTCTCTCTCTCTCTCTCTCTCTCTTCGCTCTCTCTCTCCCCCTCTCTCTCCCTCTCTATCTTCTATCTCTCTCTCTAGAAATCAGAAATTATTAGCTTGAAAAGCTCCATTGTCGACAACCCACGGTCTGTTTAATCCTTATCTAAAGTTCCATACAAACTATTATAAGGACTTCTACACAGAAAATATCGAGTGGGACTGGAGTCTAACTAAAAACTCACAAGCCCTTATGTCTAACCAGGCCAATTCACACGTATCATAACTTGGCTTTGAATCACAGCCTCTGGACAGTCTAACTCACCTGAGCCCTGACTGACTGAAATGAAGACTGGGTGGTGTGTGTTGTGTGGTGTGCGTGAGTGAGTGTGTGTGTGGTGTGTGTGTGCTGTGTGTGGTGCGTGGTGTGTGCGTGCGTGTGTGTGTGTGTGTGTGCGGGTGTGTGTGTGTGTGTGCGTTGTGCGTCTATTTGTGTGCTCATTACAGACCTAACCCATGGTCGGTGAACACACAGCTTTAAAGTGTCTGGGATTTGTTTTCAGTATAGTGGGCACTGAATAATGTACACTATGTATCAAATACATGACACACACACACACACAGAACACACACACACACAGACACACACACACACACACACACACACACACACACACACCACCCCAACACCCACACACACACACACGTGTTCAAGCTCATATGAAAGGAGATGACAAAACTCTCATAGCCAGGGAAAGATGAACCCCTCTCTCTACCAGACAGTTTTCCTCTCCATAGAAATTTTATATCGAA